GAAGGTCCGTGGTAGATTTAGGCTTGAATTGGCGAAAATGGAAATTTGGCATTTTCCGGTCGGTAGTGGAAATCTTGATATCGGGGTCAGAATAGAATTCCGGAAATTGGAGTAGGTCCGTTATGTCATTTGTGACGTGTGTGCAAAATTTCAGGTCTTTCGGGTGAGGTTTGATAGGTTTCGGCATCGTTTGCGAAATTCGGAAGTTTGGAAATCCTTAGTTTGAATCCGAGGGTGATTTGGTGTTTTGATGTTGTTTTGAGTGTTCCGAAGGTTTGAATAAGTTTGAATGGTGATATGTGACTTGTTGGCATGTTTGGTTGAGGTCCCGAGGGCCTCGGGATGATTTTGGGAGGTTGACGGATCAAGGATGGGATTTGAGGAAGTGCTAAAGATTGCCTTTCAGGTGTCATAACCACACCTGTGGAGTGGGGACCGCAGGTGCGAGTGCCGCAGAAGCGCATAAGAAGCCGCAGATGCGGCCATAGGTGAGAAGGGCAGGAGCCGCGGGTACGCGAATGGGGATCGCAGATGCGGGATTTCGACCATAGAAGCGGTTTTCGAGGTTTAAGTAAAAACTGCACCTGTGATGGATTTTCTGCAGGTGCGGCGTCGCAGAAGCGACTTATGGACCGCAGATGCGAAAGTTCTGGGCATAAAGTATATAAGGTCTCCTTCGCGAATTTCAGTTCATTTTCCACCATTTTTGGACGACATTGGAGCTTTTGAGGGCGATTTTGAGGAGGAATTCAAGGGTTTATCAGCAAGGTGAGTAGCTTGAGCCCTAATACTCGTATATGTGATGATTTCCCGTTGTTTAATCATGGAATTTGTGGAAAATTAGGGATGAAATTGGGGAATTAGGGCTTGAAATTGGAGAGTTTAATTTGAGGATTTGAGGGGTCATTCGACGTCGGATTTTGATGATTTTGGTATGTATAGACTCGTGAGTGCAAGGAGTTTCTAGTTTTGTAATTTTTATCGGATTCCGAAACGTGGGCCCGGGGGCCGGGTTTGAATCCAATTCGGGATTTTTGGTCATCAAATTTTTGTATGGAATTCATTCCTTTAGCGTATATTGATAATAATATATTGATTTTGGTTAGATTCGGAGCATTTGGAGGCCGAGTCGAGAGGCAAGGGCATCGCGGGTTAGAGTTTTGTCCGGTTTGAGGTAAGTAATGATTGTAAATCTTATCTTGAGGGTATGAAACCCCGGATTTCACATCGTTTCACTATTTTGAGGTGACGCGCATGCTAGATGGCGAGCGTGAGAGCGTGCACCGTTGGGGATTGTGACTTGGTCCACCCCGTAGCGACTATTAAGTTGCCTACTTGACTGGAAACTATTTGATACTTATGTGTTTTGGAAAGTATTACTATGTTTTAGACTGAATGTCATATTTGGGCCTCGTGCCAAGCTGTTTCGACCCTTAGGGTCTTTTTACTACTATTCCTCACTGTTTTGATTTAATATTTGTACTCAGTCATGCTATGTTTTACTGATTTCATAACTCGGTCTTATTTACTCCGTTTTAATGCATAAAAAGATACTTTGGGCTGAGCACCCTATTTTACTGATAGCCCGAGTGGCTTGAGAGGTCGCAGCATGTTGTACTGATTTATGATATATGAGAGGCCGAGGGCCTGATTGATTATGCCACGAGGTGGCTTGTTATAGCGCTTGGGCTGTAGGAGCCCCTCCGGAGTCTGTACACCCCCAGTGAGCGCGGGTACCCTGAGTGAGTGATATGATGTTGCCCGAGGGGCTGTTCTTGATTCATGTTATGCCCGAGGGGCTGATTACGAGTGACTGTGAGGTTGCCCGAGGGGCTGATTCTGAGTAATGTTATGCCCGAGGGGCGGTTTGTGATACATATTTTGCCCGAGGGGCTATTTATGACTTTCATCACTTTTACTCTAAACTTCATTGAACCTCTGCTGAAACTGTGGGAAAAACATCTTCAAATGATTTTTTATTGAAATTGGATTTTAACGAGATGATTTGATTTATAGACTGTTTTGAAATCATACCATACTTACTGTGATTTTATGGCGTGGATTTATGTGTTTCTTACTGCTCAGTCTTTATTTACCTTTATTACTTACTGAGTTGGCGTACTCACATTACTCCCTGTACCTTGTGTGTAGATCCAAGAGTTGCTGGACGTGATAGCGAGCGCTGATCTTTCATCCGTCGCGGATATTCGGAGTCGGCAAGTTAGCTACATGGCGATCGCAGCCTTGCTCTTCTCCCTCTTATCTTCCTTAGACTATATTAGTGTTTTCCAGACTGTGAGAGTCTTAGTTGTATTCAGACAGTCCTTAGTAGATGCTCGTGACTTGTGACACCCTGATGTCGGGCCTTAGTTCTTTCCGCACTTGTTATTTAGACTTATACTGTGAAATTTTATTAATTAATAGTTTAAAACATCTTTATTATGAAATATCGATTTGTTTTGGGATTGTGTCGGTTGGCCTAGTTTCATGATAGGAGTCATCACGACCGGATTGGTTTTGTGATCGTGACAATACCACAATCAACTTCTATTGCAGCAGAACTTCAAGCTCTGATCCAGGGGCTTCAACTAGCTCGTCAACTAAATCTAACACCACTGCAATTGGAAATAGATGCAAGGGAGGTAATCATTATGCTAGATAACGATAATATTCTATACACTAACATGCTTATTGACTGTAGGCACCTTCCCCACCAGCTACATAATTCAAGAGTACAACACGCGTACAGAGAACAAAAAAGTGTAGCAGATCAACTAGCAAAAGAGGGCAGCAGTCTTGCAAGTAATCGTACGCTACAAGTTTTTGCAGTCCCACCCTTTTTGTGATCCAACATTTTGAAGGAGATAAGCAAGGAACAACTACTACAAGATCAGTTTCACCTACAGCAAACCTGGAAGTTGAAGACAATGCAGCAGCACCTGTTTTGCGGAGCAACCTGGAGTCTAGTGCTGAAAACCATGTTGTAGCGGAGATAGTTTTTACCAACTTTGGGTGTTGTGATGATAGTTCCGTTAGGAATACCACAAACACTGTAACTACTACTAGTGATACGATAGCTTGTAATATGGTGCAACCTGAGCACCAACATCTCTGTACGCTTAACTTTTAATTAATGCATGCTATCTTTTGAACCAAAAAAAAATGTTGTAATAATATAATTATTACATAAATGGTGTGTTTGGTATGAAGGAAAATATTTTACATGGAAATATTTCAAAAGCTTGTGGTTTTTTAAAATTTTATTTTATAACTCAATCACATAAGTTAATATTATTTACGTAATTTATTTTAAATTTTATACTCATCAGTATGGGTACCCTAATACTAGTATAAAGGAAAGACTTATTATAAATCTTTTAGTAGGACCTGTTAAAAAACGGATCCTTCACCCGAACCGCATTTTGGTCCCAAAAAACGGGACTTATTATAAATCTGCTTTTATTTCCTTTATCCGTGTTAGAGTTAATTTATTGATGTTCCTTATTATTCTCTTGAATTTCTGTATTATCTGTAGTCCCGGAGCATGTTCCGATCCCATTTAAAATGGTCATTCTTATTATTTTCCCGCTGTAGAAATATATAACTGCACATGTTTATGTGGTAGTCCTGTCTAGCCTCGTCACTACTTCGTCGGGGTTAGGCTAGGCACTTACAAGCACATGGGGTCGGTTGTGCTGATACTACACTATGTGCTCTTTTGTACAGATCCCGGTACCGGACAGGAGCAGTAGTTCGGGAGCTAGTCTTCAATCCACCGAGACACCGAGGTAGCCTTGCAGGCGTCCGCAGGCCCGGCGTCTCCTCTATCTTGTATTTCAGTCTGTTATCTCATGTTTTCGAGACAAACAGTGTTACAATTCTTTCAAACGGTTGTATGTAGTAAATCTTAGTTGTCCGTGCATGTTGTGACACCAGTTCTGGGTAGAGGCATATGTGGATCTTCCTTATTATTTTGGTTTATTTCGTTTAAGTCTTCCGCTAAATTTCGAATTCCGCTGCTGTTTAATTATTTATTTCCCGCTAATTAAATTGGTAAAAATGGATCTAAAACAAAAGTATTTATGGATTCTAAATGTGTGGCTTGCCTAGCTTCTACGAATAGGCGTCATCACGACTCCTGAGGGTGGGAATTCCGGGTCGTGATGACTGGCTATTTATGTAAGGATCCCTAACATCAAACCTTTAGGAGAGCAGCCCATGGATAGATGGTCTAGTCCTTAACCAGCATAGGGCCGGTAGCATTTTAAACTTGAAGGCCCTTTAGATGAAGGATTGGGTTGATAACATTTATAGTCCAATGTGTGTTGGGTTGGGCTAAGCTGGGCTGGGGCAGCTCATTTTGATCTATTAAAAGGAAAAATCTCACTTTATACATATTAAGTCCAAACTATCGAAAATTTAAATTTTGTATGAATTTGAGCTATGGGTGTCTAACGGGCCGGGTCAGCCCGTTTCCGGACCGGCCCAGACCGGTTAAAACCGGAATCGGCCCAAACCGGTAGAAGGGGGCCGGGTAGGGCTGGGTTAAAGGGGTAAGGAGGGTTGGTCTGTTTACTTAAATCCTATCGGTTAACCGGACCGGTCAAACCCGGTCAACCAAAATCCCTGTAGAACTGGTTAACCGGCCCGGCCCGACCAGTTTAAAGGCTAGATTTCAATTTTTTATAAGGTTTTAGAGTCTAAGGCAATGTAAAACCTTTGAATTTACTCTTTTTTCGTTAATTTACTTGTTAAATGTAAACCTTTCAATTTATAAGTTTGGATTTTGAAATAAATGTAGCAATTTATAAGTGTAATTTTTTTTCCATCTTCATTGTATTCTTTATATTTTTACTTTATATTAATATAAATTGCAATAGCTATACAAAATATAAAAAAAAAAAAAAAAAACACTAACCCGGCCCGGCNACTAGTATAAAGGAAAGACTTATTATAAATCTTTTAGTAGGACCTGTTAAAAAACGGATCCTTCACCCGAACCGCATTTTGGTCCCAAAAAACGGGTCCGGATTCCGGGCTAAAGATCCAACAGTAAACACACCACGCAGCTACCTTCTTCGCCGCTCGCTTCTTTGCTTCTCTTCTTCTCCTGTTGTGCGTACAGTTGCCAAAATCCAATACCCATCTCAGGTAACTACGCCGTCAGTTTAAGGTACCACTCATTCTTTTCAATACCCAAAACTCAATGCATTTTTTTCATAATTTTTCTCTTTTACAGAATGATCCTTTATTATGTTAGAGCTTCAAAATCCAATCTTAAAGATTTCAACGTTCTCTTTTCTTCCCTCAAACGCTTAATCTTCTATTCATCTCTTCATCATTTTCAACACCCCTCTGACCTCACACTCACAAATATTAGAGCTAACAGTAATGATATTGACAATATTAAGAGGAGTTATAATAACAATAATGGTGCTATGGCTGATAATCCCATTAAAGATTCAGACTTTAAGGAATTTTTCTTAAAGAGGATTGAAGAAAAGAGATGGGATTTTGATGAGGAAATTTGGGCTGTTCCAGATTGTTTTAATTCTTTGATTTATGATTCTGATTTGTTAGTGAAAACTCTTAGCTCAATTCGTCGTAGGCCGAATGTGGCGTTGAGATTATTCAAGTGGGCTGAAAGGCAAAAAGGGTTTAGTTATTCAGAGTTTGTTTTTTGTACTATTCTTGATATTTTAATACAGAATGGTTGGTTGAAATCTGCTTATTGGGTTGTTGAAAGGGTGATTAGTTGTAATGTGCATAGAGTTGTTGATGTTTTGGTTGATGGGTATTTGAATTTGCAAGTTTCTGTTGAGATACTTAATCTTTTCTTGAGGGTTTATGCTAAGAACGCGAATGTGGAGCAGTGCTTGTTAGTTTTTGAAAAGATGTTGAGGAATCAGCTGTTGCCTGATGTAAAGAATTGTAATAGAATTTTAAGGAGTTTAAGGGATAGGAATATGGTTGCGAAGGCGAGAGAAGTGTATAGGATGATGGGCGAGGTCGGGATAAAGCCGAGTATAGTTACTTATAATACGATGCTGGATTCGTTTTGTAGAGAAGGTGAAGTGCAACAGGCTTTGGATCTTTTATCAGAAATGCAGAGGAAGGAGCGTTATCCGAATGATGTTACTTACAATATCTTGATTAATGGGTTGTCGAAGAAAGGGGAGTTTAACTTGGCTAGAGGTTTAATTGGAGAGATGTTGAATAAAGGACTAGAGGTTTCGGCTTATACGTATAACCCTTTAATTTATGGTTACTGTGAGAAGGGAATGGTTGTTGAAGCATTGGGTCTTGGAGTAGAGATGGAGATAAGAGGAGTTTCACCGATTGTGTCTACTTATAATACATTTATTTATGCGCTTTGTCAGCAGGGGCGAGCAAGTGAAGCAAGGCAGTGGTTTTCCGTCATGTTGAAGAAGAATTTGGTGCCGGACATAAGGTCATACAACACTTTGATTTATGGATATTGTCGATTAGGAAATACTAATGATGCCTTTTCATTGTTACATGATTTAAGAACTGGTGACATTTTTCCTACGGTAGTCACCTATAATACAATTATGGATGGACTCTGTGGAAAAGGTGAGTTAGAGGATGCTATGCAGCTGAAAGACGAAATGACAAGATGCGGTATCTCTCCTGATGTGTTTACTTACACGATTCTGGTTCATGGTTCCTGCAAGGCGGGAAATTTACTGTTGGCAAAAGAACTATTTGATGAGATGCTACACAAGGGGTTGGAGCCGGACTCCGTTGCCTACACAACTCGAATAGCAGGTGAACTGCGGTTGGGTGACATATTAAAGGCGTGCAAACTACAAGAGGAAATGTCGGTGAAGGGATTCCCGCCAGATATAATAATCTACAATGTATTTGTTGATGGCATCGCTAAGCTGGGTAATCTAGAAGAAGCAACTGAGTTGTTACATAAGATGGTTGGCGACGGCCTTATGCCTGACCATGTAACATATACCAGTGTAATTCATGCCTACCTCGAATTTGGGAACCTAAAGAAAGCCAGAGAGTTGTTTGATGAGATGATAAGCAAAGAGATATCTCCAACAGTTGTAACTTACACAGTGCTAATTCATGCGCATGCTGGTAAGGGGAGGCTTGAGCTTGCACATATGTATTTTTCGGAGATGCAACAGAAGAGCATTCTGCCAAATGTGATTACCTACAATGCACTGATAAATGGCCTTTGCACATATAGAAGAATAAATGAGGCTTACAGTTACTTTGCTGAGATGAAAGCAAGAGGAATTGGCCCTAATAAATACACATACACCATTTTGATAAATGAGAACTGTGATTTGGGTAACTGGCAAGAGGTTTCGAGACTGTTCAAAGAGATGTTGGATAAAAGGATCCAACCTGATTCTTTAACGTACAGTGCGATGTTGAAAAATCTCGGCAAAGATTGTAAATCACATGCCATAGAATACCTTGACTTTATAATTTTAGGTGATGAAGGTGATGAAGGCACTGCTGAAGCAAAGAGTTGAGCAATCCGTGAACGACCACTGGAATTCTTGAATGACTACCTTCAGTTGTTGAACTTTGATCCAAAGGTATAACACTGTGAGCTTCGTGCAGAAACCTCTGTAATAGCTGCTGGTATGCGTCTGGTATATGTGATTCTGACCTTTAATTATTTTTATCATTGTTCTCCACCATGCATTTACAACTTTTATATCCTTTTATTAGGTGAAGCAGATAGAGCTGTCATGGTTCATTTTGGATTTGGGCCTACTTCATATTTGGTATAAGATTGCTGGACCTACTTTGCCTTTCTCTTCAAATTAATGCATGGATCTTTGAATGAAATTTTCATTCATATCTCTCTCTCTCTCATCTAAATAACTGGCTCTTAATTTGCCCTTTCCTAGTTTTTGTTCCCTCTGTTTCCTTTCTAAAAGTTTTATCGCCATTTCACTTGCATACAAGCCTAATAAGTAATAATCTGCTCCAACGTCATGGCTGAGTATCTGGTCTAAACCTTCTTCTTTCAAACATGATGCTAGATATTGGAGGCAAAAATATTCAGTTTTTCTTGTTGAATGTCACCTCCTATTTTTTTTTCTTTGCAGGGCAAACACAAAAGTCTATGCGCATTTCCAGATAACACAAAACTCTATTGCAGGTTAGTGGTATTTAATTTCAGTTGAGGGTCTCAAATGTTATCAAGATCCATTTTCTTGGGCTTTCCTTGCATTTGTGTTCAGTTATTGGTCTGTCTTCCTGTTTAACACTTCTAATTTTTGGAAACGCTAAAGATATCTGGTAGGACTTGCAAAAGTACTTCAGTCTGCTGAGGTAGCATCTATCCGTCTTCTGCTTACCACTGTCTTGTTAAATAGGACTAGGACAGGCTTATTAGCTTCAAACTACGTTGTTGCTGTCTGTACAGTGTAGAAAGCCGGGATTGACATGTAAGATCTTGGTGCAGTTGAGAAACTTATAATTTTTCAGTGAAATGCAACATCTTTTGATTTTTTTCAAGAGCATCTTTCTATAATCTGTACTCATAGGGGCTTTTTATGCCTATTTCCAATATAAGCTGGTGGCAAGTATATGTGCTCCAAAAAGCTACCGTAAGGAATGGAATGTGTTTTCTTTGTACAGAAGATAGTAGTCCAATAAGAGGCTGTGATATACAGAGGGTTGTGGAACTTCAGCTGTGAATCTGAACGAAAATATGTCGGCTAGCCCTTTTACCTTTTCAGTCTGACCTTAAAGATCCTCTGGCTAGGAAAAACAACCCAATGGATATAAATATAACTAATTTGCAATTATATAATGATCTAATGAATTGTTTTGATAGGTCTTGCCTTTTAAAATGAATAAAACTCTGGTTAGTCTTTCCCTCTACCAAAATGGTTGTGGACTTTATGACTTTATTATCCCAGTTGTCATCTTGGCAGTCTGTTTAAGCATGTGCTTGTATTGTTCCTTTCACGAACATGTAGTTTACCTTTGTTCGTTCTTTTACTGTTTGATGGTTGGATATTGGGTTAAAGCATTAAGTATCATGTTTGAAGTGAGACTTACAAGTACTTCTTCCTGCATTTCGCTCTCGGTTTAAGGGCTTTCTTCCTTCCAACTGCCCCCGTCCCATCCCAACCAACATGGACTCTCTGTCTTTGGAACATGCATATGTACAAAAAACAAAATCATTCCATTTCATATTAGTCGATGCAGAAATATCGAACAAATGTGACATAGTTTAGGTAATTAGGATATAGATTGGATGTGAACTATCTATCCAATCAGAAGTAGATCATTGTTCTATATCTAGAGATGAGAAGTGTCTTTTTGATGTCTATCACACTGCTTCTAATCCTGTATTTGCCGCTTTATGTAAAACCTAGCTATCTTATTTGATATGATCTGTTTGATCATTGTTTTTCCTTACAGCAAGCATGATTTTATCCGAGCTGTTTAGAGGTATCAGGGAGTGATTTATGCCTTCTTCTGTGTCCTCTGAACCTGTGGACATTCTTATGAATGTGGTGGCATGCAGATTCTTGAAAATTTTGTGCTGGTACTTATATAATTTTTTTCTTCATTTAATGAAATCTGAGAAACTTATCCTGTATGCTTCTGTATTTAAGTTTATATACCTGCTTAGTTCCGTTACTAGGATATACATATTTGTGGCCTATCTGACCAGAAGTGGCACGTGTTGCTCCGATCCCTGAATATTTCTACCCAAACGTCAAAGCAGTAAAGCAAATAATGCAACATACTCTGGAAGTCGTGAGCGGTGGATAAATGATCGTTGAGGATGGTGCTATTCTGCTGGAATCTGCCATATCAAATTCAATCATTTAAAGCGTGGTAATAGTTACTTACCTGAGGCCTTTTAAAGTCTAGGTTCTGTCATAAAGTTTCACCCTTTTCATGCGGCATGTTTGTTGGTTTACATGCTTCCCACTGGTTGGTGCTATGCCTGTTTTTATTTTATTCTTCTATTTTCCAAATGTTTCCTGTTGGCCAAACTAAACATATGTGTCCGCACAAGCATTTATTGAGTTGAATATTCCTGATTATTTAATCCGAATTTAGCATTTAGTTTCAAAGGTGCACCAAACTATCGTCGCATTAAACTTATGAGTCATCCGATGGAACTCTCGGAAATAGTGATAGAGTGTAGATTTAGGGACGCTACAAGTGCAACAGAGAACTAGTTTACATCTTTATGCATAGTAGATCTACAACGGAAGCTATATTCTCGTGAAGAATATTCATGAAAATTTATCACAAGAGGAAAGATATATACATGTTCATTGACCTAGAGAAATAATATGATAAAGCACCAAAAAAAATCTTTTGGTGATTGCGGAGGAAGAAAGAAATTTATATTGGATATGTAAATGTCATAAAGGATATGTATGAAGGAGCAGTCACTAGTGTGAGAACAATAGTAGGGGATGCAAAGGAGTACCCGTAACAATGGGTTTACAATAGGTCTCGGTATTGAACTTTTACTTGTTACTCTAGTTGTGGATGGACTAGCTCGATGTTCTAGGAGAACCATATGAAAGATGAATGGTATGAAAGATGGAAATGTTACACACTGAAATAAAATAAGGTTGTTGAAATATACTAGTGCTACCCGAGTGTTATGTGATAGAATGATACCTACAAAAGTGAGTCAAGTTCTATGTAACCGTTATAAGACAAGAAATGTTATATCGGAGTGACTGTTGGGTTCTAAAGTCCATATCCACAAGGTGAGTGTCGTAGATATGCTAATACTAAGATGGATATGAAGTTATACAAGATTAGACAAGATTAAAAATGACCGCGTTATGTAGAAAGAAAAATCTATATAGGCGATAACGATTAGGTGAAATTGTAGTTGCATTTCTTCCTCTATCTAAGGTGAGTGTTCTCTCTCTAGTGATTGATATAGGTGATTCCTGGAAAGGGCCACCCAACATAGAGAGCCTTCAACCTTACCTAGGAGGGAAAGAACAGATACGTCATCATAAATGAATGCATAAATCATTAAACGAGTGTTGACCACATGTTTATGTATAATCTATAGTGAATTGGTATTTCTGTGGTTTATTTAATTGGCAAGTTGAGCACTTTGTGCATTGTGGATGTTCTGTACCTTTCCTGCTTTCTCATAACGCCCCGCGCTCTAAAAGTATTTATGTGCTGGTTGAGAACAGAGGCCCTGACATCCACATTGTTTTTGGCAACAGATATCAGGTGTTTATTTTCCATGTGCGCTGCCTGAAACGCAGCGGTAAATGGTCAAATGCAAGTTTTGAGATCATTGAGCATCCCATTTTCCTAAGCCGTGGTGGAAGAGTAATCCAATACGTGCTGCGGTGGGAGGTAGCAGGGACAGAGTAAAATAGACGAGGTGCGCGCAAGTTGGCCCGGATACCATTTTTATTAAAGAAGAACGACGAAAAGAAAGAAAGAACTCGCCAAGAGCAATATATTTGAGAGTTGAGACACTGTGATAAAGGTATCCATGTGGGATTCACTACAAGAATGTGTGCAAAATCTTGAATGGTGGAGGTTGATAAGTTCATTCTTCTACTCAAAACTGCATCATCATTTGATCTGCTATTCACTTAAAGATACAGCCTTATCACATAATTTGAATCTCAACATAATTCTGGACATTTGCAGCTTTGGCAATTTGGTTGGTGAAAGGCTGCAAGTGTTCCAATGAGAAAGGATGCATGTTTTTGAAGTTCTTCAAAGTAGAACTTTCTTATAGAACTTTCTTGTACCCAATGGAATTAGTCGAGGTGCGCGCAAGCTGGTCTAGGTGTAGGGGTAAGGTTTGCGTACACACTACCCTCCCCAGACCCCACTTGTGGGATTACACTGGGTTTGTTGTTGTCGTTGTTGTTGTTGCGCGCAAGCTGGTCCAGACACCACCATTATCCAAAAAAAAAGTAGAGTTTTCTTGTATGTGTTTGTTAACTTCTTGTAATTGCATTTGTTTGTACAGTACTACTTACTCAAAAGAGCTGAAGCTGATTTTCACCCCTCTCCTAACCTCAAAGAAAAAGTAGTTTTTCTTCCATGTTGTTTATATTGCTCGGAGGGGAGCCTTGGCGTGCTGCCATGTGACCAGGAGGTCATGGGTTCAAGTCGTGGAAATAGCCTCTTGCAGAAATGCAGGGTAAGACTGTGTATAATAGACCCTTGTGGTTCGGCCCTTCTCCGGATTCCGCATACACCGGGAGCTTAGTGCACCGGGCTGCCCTTTGTTGTCTATATTGCTCATCAAAAGAAGATGCACATTCTTTTAGTTGATTTAGTGTCGACGAAACTTGTAAATATTTCCCATTATTGAGCAAATAAACAATCGATGGATTAAAATGCATTGTCTTTAATTACATGAATTATCTTTAACTGTTAACTGCAAATTGTTTTCAAAGGGAATAAGTTTAAATAGAGGACCGAACAAGGTAAATATTAATCATTTCCTGTGTCCTAAGTCATGCCAAGTACACCAATTTAGTTTTATTGAATCTTAAGGTCGTAATCTGTGAATTACACTTGACAAGGATGCAACATATTCATAATGGGATCTTTATGGAAATAGCCGGCCGGTTGAATTTACTGTTTACTTTTTTTCGCTGATTTACATAAATTGTATACATATTATACATCTGCCGGCTATTTTTTATTTGAGTAAGCGACTACTTAGATTAAGGACCCGTTTGTCTATAGATATTTTTCCTTTTTCCGAATTTTTTTTTTTTCAAAAACGTGTTTGTCCTTCAAATTTTGCAAGTTTTTATTTATTTTTTTTACGAAAATGGGTTTTTCAAAAACAAAAAAGTGGTTTCGATCACTTTTTCAAAATTTTCATAAATTTTTGTTTCTCCGCTCACACTGCAATATTTTTTCAAGTGAAATGCATGTCGAAACATAATTTCAAATTTTAAATTTTATTTTTAACTTAACTCCAAATAATATTTTACATAAAAATTACAATTTTTATGTCCAAACGCCTACTAATTCTTGTATCTCTTCTCTCTTATGGCCAAAGCTTGGCATCCAAATAAATGGCTATTCTTTTCTTGTTTTGTGTGAAGTACATTGTTCAAATTCTAAGTTAACAAATGGAAGAATATTTAGGAAATTGGAGCAAAGACAGAATTATTTAACTAGGGAAATCAGACCATTTAGGACTAAAATACAGAATGAATATTATAAAACTAAACAACATATTCCACCGGTTATTTTAGTTCTATGAACGATAATAACATAATAATGTACGTCAAGTCAGAGACTAACCGTCAAATACTGCGCAGCCTTTTATTTTTTGGGGTTAAGGATTAAGAAGAAATGAAAATAAAACATTTTCTTCTAAATACTTATGTATTTTGGGAAGATAAATTAAATACTTATGTATTTGTTAAGATGAGTCCTCATAGATTAGGATAATGTTTTTATCTTTTTAAGAGCCCAGCCCGCTAGTGATATTGTCCGCTCTGGGCCTAGGCCCTCACGGGTCCTCTTATGTTTTGCCGATGTGGGACTCTGCCTAAAGTCAGGGCATGGCTGACACAAGAGTGACTCTGATACCATCTTTAACAGCCCAGCCCGCTAGTGATATTGTCCGCTCCCGGCCTAGGCCCTCACGGGTTTAAAACGCGTCACTAGGGTCTAAGGCTTGTTAACTTATATACCCAGCATCCCTCTTATGTTTTGCCGATGTGGGACCCTGCCTAAAGTCAGGGGTATTACAATCTTTCACTTCTTAACATAGCATAATTTATTTATTTATTTATTTTGTGAATTTGATTACTATATAATCATAACTTTAAGCTTTAAATATGTAAAATTATCTTATTGAGAAATTTTTTTTATAAAATTTCCAAGATTTTCAATAATTCAAATAAATTTAATGATGTTTTCTTATTGTTTATAAGTTTTCTTTTATTACAAGATACATAAATTTATTGCATGTTCAAAAAGGAAGAAAAATTTAAAAGGTTGAATTGAATAAGAATTAAAGGACACACGTATACTCTTTTCCATAGTTTGAGTCTTTGAGTTTCCTTTTTTATTTTTGTTTTAAGCATTTGATATCCAAAATTCTGTAACTCGTCTACTTTGAATTCGCGTTGGGTAGGCTCACAAAGGGAATGAAGCTCTCCCTATCAACAAGTTCGGGAGATTTTTAAAAATAGTCAGATTCAGTCGTTCAAAAATAGCTCAATTTCAAAAGTAATCGAAATTTAGCCACTTTTTATGTAAAGATAAATCTGAGCGAAAATATTGTTCAAAACCCGGAAAATACTCCAGTATATTATGCTGGAGTTCCAGCATAAGTATACTTGAACTCGAGCATATTATACTGGAGTTCCAGGATAGTATGCTGGAACTCCAGCATAATATGATGGAGTTCCAGCATAAGTACACTAGAACTCCAGCATAATATACTGGAGTTCCAGCAAGTATAATGGTCCAGTATAATATACTGGAGTTTGGAGCACCAGTGCTCCAGTATATTATACTGGAGCCAGCAAAGTATACCGGTCCAGCATAATATGCTGGAGTTCATACACAAGTGCACCGAACTCCAGTATATTATGCTGGATAGGTCTCTATTGCAGCAAAACGGTAGCTATTTTTCATTGACTTGGTAAACGCTGGCTATTTTTAATTGACCAGTCCGAAAACTG